CGCTACCCCCTTTGGTTCGCCTTAGGGGAAGGTGGGGCTGTCACAAATAAGGCAGTAGCGGTTAAGTAAGCTCCAGCTTTTTCCAATAAAACTTCAAAATAAGCAAAATCATCAAATGCACATGTATAATCAACTTAAGAACACTCACCCTAGTCAAAATAAGTTATATTTGAATCTCGAAGTTGCTTCCTGGCTCGTTGTTGTCTCCTAAGACAAGTTTAGGATCCTAAGGTGAATATACAATTCGTATACAGCCACTTATCACTTACCAATTTAAGGTATAAATTATTAAAAATCCAAGTTCCTTGGCTTATAAAACAAGACACAAAAATTCTAGCAATCCTTCTTACATCTATCTTCTAGATTTACCAAGTTTGATAGTTTAAAACAACGAAAATATAAATATACACAGAATTAAGGTCTTATGAAGTGTTCGGGCTAAGATTAAATCATTTTCATTCCAATCTTAATAATTAAAGCTGGCGAAACTTTTCATTTCTTCCTTTTAGGATAAACCAGAATCTAGTTTGCTTATTGTTCAAATTTGCTCAACTTTACTAGCTTTTCAAGTTTTGGGATCAATAAAATGTACATGAAAAACAAGGTCAAGATGTTATAAGCTATTTTATATAAGATTACAACTAATTATCCTGGATTTTTTTAAAATCTCATGAAAGATTCAACTCCTCACTCTTTCGGCCAGCAAGCAAAATTTCTAGCAACATCACTGCAAAATTTTCAGCAAAGTTCCATATTTTACTTGCTTAAAACACTAAACACTTAGCATATATTCTATCCAACCTAAACTAAAGCAAATAACACACAATTTCAGCAAGTAATTCCACCAAGAAACCACAAATAACTCTATCATCAGCTAACTATAACTTTTAGCAATATGGCAGCTTAAAATACGGTACTTTCTCCATAATTTCTTCAGTTTTTAACTCCAACTCAACATGCAGAGGATGGTTATCAAGCTACAGAGTATCTTAAGCAGTAATATAAAGTTTACAGCCAAGGAAATCCAAGAGCAAAGCTGATCCAGGTCTTAATCTTTCCCCTCGGCCATGTTTTTAAAACTCTAATAGCAACCAGTTTAAAAACACAAATTTTCTCCAATAATCCCTTCAGTTTATACCATATCTTTCATGCATGATGAAATCAAGGTATTATACGATATATTACAGCTTAGTACAAAAGTTTATCAAAATTTGCAAAAGGCAGCTGGAACTTCTTTATTTCTTGCTCTCAGATGAAGCTGAGAAATTTCCAGCAACCTCTTATCGATATTTTCAATCCAAATTTCCAACTTTTCACAAGTCTCTTTAGCTAATCCTCTTATAATACTTAAAGGTAAACATATTACGTGCATTTCCTTACATTATTTTCCATTCTACACTGATAACAAGCTGCAACTCCAGCAAATAACTCTCGGTTCCTACAGTTTTCTATTCAACAACTATTCAGTCTCTAATCAGAATTTTTCCTCAGTCAAGAACTCATTTTCCTTGTAAATTTTGACATGTAGCTTAAGTATCATATATATTAGAAGGGTAAGAGGTTATTGCAGAATTTTACCTCCTTTTTTCTCCTAAAATTTGAAAATTACAGCTTGCACTTTTAGTTTTCTACTTCGGTTCCTTCAGAACAGCACCCGATCCTCTTTTTTTTTCCTTCTATCTACTTTACTCTCACTCAACTGAAGCTGGTAGGCGAAGATACCAACAAGATTTCTCTCCCTCTTTCTCACTTTTGCTCACGGTTTTGATGTTGGAGAAGGAAGAAGGCTTCACTCTCTATTTTGTTTTCTCTCTTTTGTACCTAACAATCTGCTATCAAATGAAACATCCAAGTTCCTTTCTCTGTTTTGGTTTTATGCTTAATCAAGAATAGTCAATTGGTTGCATGGTGAATTGATCAAGTCTTAAGGTTAAAAGGGTCTTTTGGCATTAGTTTATTTACTTGTTAAGGAGTTGTAATTTTATTATCTTCATGTATTGCCTCAAACTTTATTTATTCTAATTTGTAACTCCTATAAGAATTTTCTTGCATTAATCTAGGGTATTTCAAGACATTCAATTTATAAGAAATCAATTAAACATATAATTTGATCAATTATATGGTGTATGCAATGCTTTTGGCAACATATGAAGATAATATAAATTAAAATATATATAATGTGTATGTATATATATAATTTCTCGAGTTCTCACAAAGAAAATATTTAGGTGCATCAAATACAACCCTACAAGGTCCATTTTGAACATAGCAAAACAAGTAAAGTTTCTATATTCAATATCTCACTTTTAAGCAAGTTTCAAATATTAGAAAGTTCTATTTCTTAGAAAGTTACTATTTTTGCTCTGTCTAACTAACATTGAAAAGAATCATATTATTTGGTCAATATTCTTGGAAAATCAATCATTAAGTAAAGTTTAGTTAATTTACCTTAGTCTTTATTATAGAATGGTAATGAATTAAATTAGTCCATCACTTTGGAAGTCATTTATTTTTGAAAAGCATCTTAAAATGTCAACGACCTTGGAAGAAACTGTATTTAAGAAAGACATATAAATCTATTACTTTATGCATTCATAGCAAGAAAATATTTAGGTGCATCAAATACAACCATACAAGGTCCATTGTATACATTAAGTAACTTTTCATTAAACATTGCAAAATTGTATTTATGAAAATTCAAAGGGCTAAATCCCACTCACTTTGATCAATTTGGAAGAAAGTACTAGAATTCTAGATCCTTGCCTTCTAATTCGAGAGGAATGGCATGTAAATCTATTACATTATGCACATCAATTGTTCATCAATTATTTCTTTAATGCATCCCAAAGATATGTTTAACCTTATGGTACTTAACATTTCAAAATGAACAAAGTTTCTATATTTAATATCTCCTTTTTAAGTAAGTTTTCGATATTAGAAAGTTCCCTTTCTTAGAAAGTTACTATTTTTCGTCTGCCCAACTAACTTTGAAAAGAATCTTGATATTTGGTCAATATTCTTGGAAAATCTATCATTAATTTAAAGTTTAGTTAATTTAACTAATCTTTATTTTAGAAAGTTCATGAATTAATTTAGGAAAGTCCATAACTTTACAAGTCATTTATGTTCGAATAACATCTTAAAATGTCAATGACCCTGGAAAGAAAATGTATTTAAGAAAGACATATAAATCCTTTACTTTATGCGCTCATAGCAAGAAAATATTTAGGTACGTCAAATACAATCATTCAAGGTCCATTTTTATACATAAGGCAATTTTCATTAAACATTGCTAAAATGTATCTAAGAAAATACAAAGGGCTAAGTCCCGCACACTTTGGAAGAAAGTACTATAAGAATTCTTGATCCTAACCTTCTAAATTTAGAGAAACGACATGTAAATCTATTATGTTATGCACAACGATTGTTCATCACTTATTTCATTAATGCATCCCATAGACATGTTTAACCCGACGATACCTAACATTTTGAAACGAGTAAATTTTCTACATTTAATACCATCCTTTTTGTATGTTTCCTAAATTAGAAAGTTCCCCTTCTTAGAAAGTTACGAATTTTGTTAAGTCTAAGTAGATTTGAGAAGAATCTTTATATTTTGTCAATATTCTTGGAACATCAATCATTATGTAAATTTTAGTTAATTTGGTTAAGTCTTTATTTTAGAAAGGTCATGAATTAACTTTGCAAAGTCCAAAACTTTAGAAGTCATTTATGCTTGCAAAACTTCTTAAAATGTCAATGACTTTGGAAGAAAATGTATTTAAGAAATATATGTAATTCTATTACTTTATGTGTTCAGAACAAGAAAATATTTAGGTGCATTCTTGATCAACTTGGGAGAAGTACTAATAGAATTCTTGATCCTTGCCATCTAATTCTAGAGAAATGATATGTAAATCTATTACTTTATGCACATCAATTTTCATCACTTATTTCTTTAAAGCATTCCCTAGAGATGTTTAATCTTATGACAATTAACATTTCAAAACGAGTAATGTTTCTATATCTAATATCTCCCATTTAAGTTTCCTATTTTAGAAGTTTCATTTCTTAGAAAGTCACTATTTTTGGTTTGTCAAGTAAACTTTGGAAAGAATTCTGATATTAGGTCAATATTTTTGGAAAATCATCCATTAAGTAAAGTTTAGTTAATTTATCTAAATCTTTATTTTAGAAAGGTCATGAATTAACTTGGGAAGTCCTTACCTCTAGAAGTCTTTTTTTTTTACTCTTTATTCGCCACGAGGAAGTCAAGAATGGGATACAATGAGTGTGGGATAAAAGCAGAGACACCCCTATAAACACACTACTGCTAACATATATGATGAAATCGGACATAAGGAATTTGGAGTCTGTCCAGCTGAAGGGCAGAGCAGAGACGCCTCAGAAGAGAAAACAGCATCTGATGGGAGATTCAACAAGGCCAGCGCATCAGCCACCGAGTTTGCTTCTCGAAAAATATGGGCCATAGATGCTCCCAGGGCCGTTACCACTGTTTTAATATGCTGAATAGAGTCACATAAGTGCCAACATGAGGAAGCATCAGACGAGACCAAGCTAACCAGCACACTGGAATCCACCTCCGCCACACAATTTTGAAGGTTCCTTTGTTTGCAAAGCAGCAATCCTTCCAACAATGCTAGTGTCTCTGCCATTAGAACATCTTGATCCCCAAATTCTTTGTAGAATGCAAATATTAGATCCCCCTCCGCCGAATGAAGAATCCCTTCACCAGAGGCACCCGTGGGTGAAACACTCGTGTCCGTATTTAGTTTATAAATGCCCTGTAGAGGCTTAACCCAAGTGACCACCTGAGGTTGAGGAGGCCTCCTCCTTCTCACCTGGATACTCTTTGCCCATGCACAATCCGCATCGCCTTTGAAATATTGTGGCTGCAAGAGCTGACCCATACTCATTTGCTCAATGAAGTTGCAAACCTAAAAAATGATTTGGTTCATCGACAGAGACGAACCCTTGTTTCAAGCCTGATTTCTAGCCCTCCACATAAACCGCAGGACTAAAAGAGGAATAATAACACGAATATGGTTCTGCATGAAAAGCAATGTGAGAAGAACCAAGAAGCCAACTTAGCAGATACCCCATTCGCCCGGTCTAGGATTCCAAACAAATTATCAAAAAACTGCCGCACCTTTGATGCCACCGACACCATTACAAATAGATGGCTCCTCATTTCCACTTCATTCCCATAGCAACCACACCGGGAAGCTCGCACAACCCTCTTCTGCTGGAGATCATGATCCAAAGGCACCCATCTGTGTAACAAACGCCATGTGAAAAAGGCAACCTTGAGCGGAACCACTGAGCTCCTAACCAATGAGTGAACCGTGGACAGATTCCTTTTACAACACACATGCTCCCACGCTGACGCCACCGAGAAATCACCCGAAGAAGATGCACCCCAAACCATCTTATCCTTGAGACAAGGGAAGATCTGGAGCTTTAAGATCTGCGTCACAATGTGGCCAGGGAGAATCTGCCAAAGACGGTGCTTATCCCATTCACTAGTTCTATATAGCTCCCCTACCAACATATCGGGGTGGGCTAAGCCCGGAACCAAAGTAGCCAGGGGGACATCCGTGCACCACCTATCATGCCAAAAATCGATGAGGCCCTCTCCCAGGGACCACCGAATATCCCCCTCAGCCAGATCCTTAACTTTTACCAAGCGGCACCATACGGCAGATGGGCGGTCTACTGCCACCAGACGAGTATGGTTACCTTTGATATATTTAATATGCACAAATGTCACCCAAATGGTCTTGTTCTCCCTCAAATACCACTATAATTTGCACGATAAAGCGTCGACCGCAGCATCAAATGAGCGGAAACCCAATCCTTCTTCTCCCACCGGGAAACACACATTCTCCCAAGCAGCCCAATGAATCCTCTTGAACTCAATGGAGTTATCCCAGAGCAGAGCATTCCAGATTTTACCCAGCGATGCAACTACAGCTCCTGGAAGGGAAAGGACCTGTAGCCAATAGATGGGAAGTGAGCAAAGAACATGGCGTATAAGGGCTATTTTGCCGCCCATTGAAAGCATTTTCGAACTCCAATGAAATAATCAATGCCGCATCTTAGACAGCAGTCCGTCAAAAACAGCACAAGTAACCCTGCCCCTGATCAAAGGTACTCCCAAATATGTGAAGGGTAATTTCTGTTCCCTGAACCCAAGAATTGACCGAACCAGCCTATAATGCTCTATCGTTATTTTCGATGACGGAGAAAAAGAACTTTTGGCCACATTCACCTTTTGACCAGGGCAGGATTGATAGAGCTGCAAAAAGTCCCTGATTGATGTCAAAGCGCCAACTGAGCACCTAGTGAAGATAATCGTGTCATCCGCAAATGCGAGGTACGGGACTCGCGAACCAACAGACACATAATATCGACCACTCGTAGTTGCACAAAGTTGCTGTAAACCCCTCCCAAGAAGCTCGGCTACAAACAGAAACAAAGCCGGGGAAAAGGGATCGCCTTCTCTCACCCCTTGAGTAGACTTGAAGAAGCCTGAAGGTTCTCCATTGATTAGGATCGAGAACCAAGAATTGGAGAACGTTCGAAACAACAAACCAACCACCTGTTCATCAAACCCAAACTGTCTAAGCATGAACATAAAAAATGACCAATCAACCCTATCATATGCTTTCTCCAAGTCCAATTTTAGAACCAAATTTGGGTCAGCCAACCTCCTATCTAAATCATGGATAAGTTCTTATGCCTACAGGATGTTATTAGAGATCCCTCGCCCCGGAACGTAACCAATCTACCATGGCGAAATCAGATCCAAAAGGAGCCTATTCAATCGGTTAGTTAAAATCTTAGAAATAATTTTCGAGCTAACATTGCACAGGCTAATCGGTCGAAAGTCCTGCCATTAAGAGGCACCCTCCATTTTAGGAATGACAACCAGGAGGGGCTCAATTGCTGCATGCCTTTAAAGAAATCTTGAACCGCCTCCATCAGATCATCTTTTATAATGCTCAAGCAGCTTTGATAAAAGCCTGCTCCAAATCCATCCGGACTTGGTGCACTGTCAACATCCAATGAAAAAACCATCGAGTGAAGCTCCTCCAATGTCGGGAGATCCTTCATCATCTCATTGTCTGCCGTCCCAACGGATGGGACATCGAAGGGTAGCTCATCAAGGGACCCTCGATGTCCGGTAGAGAAGAAAGCCTCGAAAAAAATGTAATAGCGGAGGCTTTGATACCTTGTAGAGACTCACACCATCCCCCGTCGTCCATCTTGATCCGAGAAATAAAAGCAGTGTTCTGTCATTGTCGGACCAGGGAATATGTGACGACCCCACCTCCCCCTAGGGCATACCCCAGGGTTTAGCGGACCGCCTGCCTAGCTCTTGCCAGGACTCACTCACTCACTTCAAATAAAATAAGTTACAACCTCAAGAGTAAAGGAAATAACAGTTCCCAAACTTGGAATGTACGAATACATTCATTTCTATCTCAAACATCCATACAACCCCAAATACATCAAAAGATTGGAGTTCTAAATACATTCATCCCTAATCGAATGGCTAGTACGAGTACAATTACAAAATTTCCAAAAACTAGACTATGCTAGCCTGTACCAGTCTCACGTCTCGCTCGTATCCCCTGTAAGGAAAACAAATGGCGTGAAATGAGCTAAAAGCCCAGTGAGATTCCAAATAGCAAGTTGACCATTATTGAAAAGTTCACGTATCAAAGTAGCAAAGTAGCGAGCATAACCAGTCTATAAAAGTGAGCAATAACACTTCAAATAACAAATCTCAAAATGAGCGAGTGTCAAATTCTTTTCTAAAAGAAACAATAATACTATGAATAACAATCAAAGTATAAGGATACAGATAGCTCTCAGGAGCCAATTTCCCATTGCTTCATCAGAGCTTGATCAAGTATTAGTTGACACTCAGTCAATTTTCAAGTAAAGTAACCAATCCAGTAGTGCTTTGCTTAACACCAATCCGTCCACCATTCATCCCCCTTATCGGGCTCGAACACCAACTAAACACTAGTGGTAATATTCGAGCATACCGATTAGTCGAGGAGATAACACTCCACTCGACAACACTAGATACCCATGGTTCGTTATTTAATCGACCAAACCCTTGTCGGCTCGATTTGATTAACTAGCCAGTGAGGTTTGGGTTCCCAAGTAGTCACTATAGTCGATGACCAATCGACTTAGTCAAGAGAAAAGTATGGAGACGGGAATGAGAGGTACCTCGCACTCGTATCGAGCGTGGTACATATGCCGCTCAACACTTACAAGTCAGGCACAAGTACAAATACAAGTACAAGTCAATGCAAATCAAGTCATTTATACAAGCATGAATGAGATATCAAGTATTTAGTTGAGTTAGGTCAAGTGCGATAAAGTACACACTTGCCTAACCAAATTAAGCAAATGTTATCCGATCACGTTAGTAAATCAAATATCAAGTTCAATCATGTATTTCGAAGCACTCACCAAAGATTTAGTGTTTGTCAAAATCATGCTCAGGTGTAACTTCTTCGTTGGAGTCCAAATCTGCGATAAAACATCGTTTAAGAGCTTTGAAGTTAACTAAGTTTCGAAACTTAAGCGTTTCGTTTAACGAAAATCAAGTAACTGAAACTCATTTGGGTAATATTCATATTACTTATTACACCCTAGAAAACTCATGCTCGCTCTTTAGTTTTGGTGAGGAATCGATTAAAACTTTGGAATTCTCATTTGAGTCAAAAAGACGAGGAAAACGTATTTCTATTGGTCGCTACTTTCATGTTTCCAAGGGTATGAGTTTCGGCCAAATTCCAGTTTATATACCTCTATGAAAGAAGACTCGAATACCCTAGACAATTCAAGTTTAATTCGACCTCATATCTTCGCCCAAGTCGTGAGTACACACACCTAACCCTCGAGTGAAAATTTGGGCAGCATGCCCTTTGGATTTAGCTATTTTTCAGTCATTTATGGCTTCATTATTTTTCTCAACTCAGCCCAAATTCACACATAAACAATCTTAACACAATAGCCCTTCAATAGGCTCAATGTCATCCAAATACAAAGCAATTCTAGCAACGCAATCCAAAAATCAAAGTTGGAAACTAGTATTAAAGAAGAATAACTAAGTAGCAGGCTTGACACCTTCTGGCATTTTGGTCACAACTAAACCTACACTTATCGGATTGGAGTGCATTTTATGGTGTTTCGAAGCTAAGACAGAGATCTACATTTCTTATGAAGACATCACCACTTAGTTTGTGAGGACCCGAAACTTTTCTTATTTTCTAGTCATTATTTTATTCCCTTACATACATTTTCTATATTTTTCTTTATTAGACTAAATTCCTAAATATTTTTATGAATAAGTATAGTTTTTAAATCATTTTCCTAGTACAAATTAGTTTATGTGACGTTAGTAGTACTTATGGGACGTGGGACCCGCTAGTGCGTAAAGTGCGATAAAATTTGACGATTAGGTGAAGTTTTGCATAAAGGGATATTATTTATAAGGTGTTAAGGGATAATTAGAGGTTAGCTAGATAGATTAACCTTTGGTAGACAAAAGGATGAGATTAAGCATAGGAAAGGACAAATGCCATGAAATCAATGGATGTTAGACTTTCACCAACTTTCTTCCACCTTTAATAAATAAAAGTTTGACCAAAAATCACCCTCACTTTCTTTCATCTTGGCCGGCCATTGAGAGAGGAAAAACCAAGAGAGAGACTTCACTTTTTTCTTCAATTTCTTGTCCAAATCTTAAATTCCAACCGTTAAAATCTCAAAGTACTCCATAAAAGTTCCTTGCTAGGAAGGATTAAAGAGATTGGTGGAGTGGTTTTGGAAGGGAAAGTACTAAGCTACCAATTTTCTTGGGGTTTTAAGGTATCTTGCCAAGAACTTCCTCTTTACTTCAATTAATTGTTAATTAGTGGTTTAAAGTTGTGAGTTTTGTAGTTTTATGGGAAAATTTCATGGAGAAAGTGGTGACATGGGAAATTTCAGATTTTTGGTGAATTTTCTGCCCTTATTTGATGCTTAAGCATTTGCCATGGATTGATAGCTTTGTTATGTGTAATATGGAGCTTATATGTGCTAGTTTCACTTGCCTACGAAAAATTTCAGCTTGTGTAGTTAAAATTCAGCTTAGGGTTTTGAATTTAGGGCTTTATTATGGTTGGTTTTAAAGCTCTTAATTGGCTAAGATTGAAGGGTATTGTGACCCAAATGAAGTATGTTTAATAGCCTAGCAATTGTATGTGCAATTGTGGTGGATTTGGGTTCAAGTTGGTGTTTGTTTGTAGGGTGGAAAAGTAAGGAAATCTAAGGGGAAGTGTTATCCAATTTTTAAGTCCATGTGATTCCTTTGAGTTGGGATGATTGTGAGTAGAAATGAAAGGTTTTGGGGTCGTTTATACTGTTGGCACCAATTGTTCTTTATTTTCACTTCCAAGTTCTATTTGGCCTTGCATTAGTAGTTTAGTGAATAGGTAAACGACTTGTAATCGAGTCTCAATTGTTTTCTTGGTTGTTCGTAGGATGTGCCGGTGACTCAAGGCGTACCTCAGGAGGAAGCGTTTAAAGTTAACTTTATTTGAACTGGTGAATGTACTCACATAATTGTTGCTTCTTTGCTTTATGCATATTTGAAATCTGTGATTTGAATGACTGTAATTTATGTTTGTTTTGGATGAGACGAGGGTGCACTTTATCACGCTCGTTCTCTATTGCTTATTTGACTGTTTACTATATAACTTGGAATCTCTTGGTTGTGCCTGAACTGGTGTCATTTGGATGTGTTTTCAACGACCTTCACTGTTAAATCTGAGCTCAACCTCATTGGTAGTTAGTTGAATCGAGCCAGCATGGGCTTGGTCGAGGAAATTGACAAGCCATGGGGACTATTTCTGGAGAATCTTTGGGTATTTGAGATTCTGGATTCCAGTATACTTGAGTATTACCACCTCTGTTCTGTTTGGTGTTCAGGCCCGATAAGGGGTATGTGTGGTGGACGGAATTGAGGTAAAGTGGAGTCTACGGTCATGTTTGTTCGTTAAACATTGACGGAGAGTCAACGAGCTGTGATCAAGTATTGCAAAAGAGGAAATGGACTCTTGAGAGCCGTTTGTATCTTTTTACTCCTGTTTACATGTGGTGGTTATTACTATTTGTTTGGTGGTTATATTTGGATTGAGTACAATTGTACTTTTGTGATTCTCATATACTTGGCGTGTTGGTACTTCATTGGGTGAAAACTCACTTTGTTGCCTTTGTTTTCCTTACAGGCCATAATATTTGGAACTATGATGTTTTTGAAAAAAGAGTCGAGCTAGTATAGATATTCTTTTGTATAGCTCCTCTGTAATTGGAAAAACCCTAATTGTATCTTGATCTGATGTTCCCTTTTGATTTGTAAAGTTACCAATGTGTGTATATAGAAATGTTTCTTTATGTCTATGTGGTATATTTGCTTGGGAATGTACATTCTCTAGGGTTATATAAAGTTACTTGTACTTGATTGGGATCCGGCCGGATATCCGGTTAAGTCTTAGCCGGATTGTGACGTTACCGCGACTGTTCATTTTTATTTTCGTCTTCATTCTTTGTTATTTGTTGTCGTTGAATCCATTGATCGTAGTAATATCATTCGGAATGGTTTGGCCTTCGCGTGTGTGACTTAGTAGTCCTGGCGAGAGTTGGGCAAGCAGTTCGCTAACCCTTAGGGTACTCCCTAGGGGAAGGTAGGGCTGTCACAGTTAGTATCAGAGTCTAGGTTAAAAATGACTTGGGCGAGCTAGAAACTTGTTTCTTTGGACCTATGGGGATTGTATTAAGGTGCCGTTAAGTGTGAATACCTTGTCTAAGATGTAAACCTTTGCTATCCTTGTAGGTTATGGCTAGAGCTAGTGAAGGGGGTGGAGGTGAGCCGCCTCGGAGGCGCTTTCACGTCATTGATTACGAGGAGAGACCTGGACGACCGATCCGGTGTTGGAGTACTGCTAGTCGGACTCTGACATTGTAGCCGATGCCAGAACTACTCCTATATCGACCATGTGGTCGTGGCCGTCCTTGATGAGAGAAGAAGACTTAGGTGAGCCATCACT